GTTATAAGATATTTCATTGTGTATCGATAGGTTATAAGATATTTCATTGTGTATCGATAGGTTATAAGATATTTCATTGTGTATCGATAGGTTATAAGATATTTCATTGTGTATCGATAGGTTATAAGATATTTCATTGTGTATCGATAGGTTATAAGATATTTCATCGTGTATCGATAGGTTATAAGATATTTCATTGTGTATCGATAGGTTATAAGATATTTCATTGTGTATTGATAGGTTATAAGATATTTCATTGTGTATCGATAGGTTATAAGATATTTCATCGTGTATCGATAGGTTATAAGATATTTCATTGTGTATCTATAGGTTATAAGATATTTCATTGTGTATCGATAGGTTATAAGATATTTCATCGTGTATCGATAGGTTATAAGATATTTCATTGAGTATCGATAGGTTATAAGATATTTCATTGTGTATTGATAGGTTATAAGATATTTCATTATGATATTTCATTCTGCATTCATAGGTTATAAGATATTTCATTGTGTATCGATAGATTATAAGATATTTCATTGTGTATCGATAGATTATAAGATATTTCATTGTGTATCGATAGGTTATAAGATATTTCATTGGGTATCGATAGGTTATAAGATATTTCATTGTGTATCGATAGGTTATAAGATATTTCATTGTGTATCAATAGGTTATAAGATATTTCATTGTGTATCGATAGGTTATAAGATATTTCATTGTGTATCGATAGATTATAATATATTTCATTGTGTATCTATAGGTTATAAGATATTTCATTGTGTATCAATAGGTTATAAGATATTTCATTGTGTATCAATAGGTTATAAGATATTTCATTGTGTATCGATAGGTTATAATATATTTCATTGTGTATCGATAGGTTATAAGATATTTCATTGTGTATCGATAGATTATAAGATATTTCATTGTGTATCGATAGGTTATAAGATATTTCATTGTGTATCGATAGGTTATAAGATATTTCATTGTGTATCGATAGATTATAAGATATTTCATTGTGTATCGATAGGTTATAAGATATTTCATCGTGTATCGATAGGTTATAAGATATTTCATTGTGTATCTATAGGTTATAAGATATTTCATTGTGTATCGATAGGTTATAAGATATTTCATCGTGTATCGATAGGTTATAAGATATTTCATTGAGTATCGATAGGTTATAAGATATTTCATTGTGTATTGATAGGTTATAAGATATTTCATTATGATATTTCATTCTGCATTCATAGGTTATAAGATATTTCATTGTGTATCGATAGATTATAAGATATTTCATTGTGTATCGATAGATTATAAGATATTTCATTGTGTATCGATAGGTTATAAGATATTTCATTGGGTATCGATAGGTTATAAGATATTTCATTGTGTATCAATAGGTTATAAGATATTTCATTGTGTATCGATAGGTTATAAGATATTTCATTGTGTATCGATAGATTATAATATATTTCATTGTGTATCTATAGGTTATAAGATATTTCATTGTGTATCGATAGGTTATAAGATATTTCATCGTGTATCAATAGGTTATAAGATATTTCATTGTGTATCGATAGGTTATAAGATATTTCATTGTGTATTGATAGGTTATAAGATATTTCATTGTGTATCGATAGGTTATAAGATATTTCATCGTGTATCGATAGGTTATAAGATATTTCATTGTGTATCGATAGATTATAAGATATTTCATTGTGTATCGATAGATTATAATATATTTCATTGTGTATCTATAGGTTATAAGATATTTCATTGTGTATCGATAGATTATAATATATTTCATTGTGTATCTATAGGTTATAAGATATTTCATTGTGTATCGATAGATTATAAGATATTTCATTGTGTATCGATAGGTTATAAGATATTTCATCGTGTATCTATAGGTTATAAGATATTTCATTGTGTATCGATAGGTTATTAGATATTTCATTCCGATATTTCAATCTCTATTAACACATTATAAAGTATTCCTTTTTATATCTAAAATTTCTTGTATCAACAAAATCCCTGAAGAACATGGAATAATGCGGTGTTAAGTGCAGAATTCTGCACCCAGGTGTAAAATGGTTCAATGGAACAGCTGAATAAACTGGGCAACAAGTGTTAACAGCTGGTTCCAGTAATGGACCTCACTCCCCTGTGTTTTAATATGTTTATATGTGTGTTTTTATAGCTTCATCATTTGTCTAAATATTGTTCTTCTGAGTTATTTTCACTCAATTTAGTTGTATGAAGCTCTCAGGATTTTTGATGTGTTTTTCACACATTCGTGTGAGGTTTAAGTATGATAAAGTGTTTATGAGAAGAGTTTGATTCTATTGTTAGGTGCGCATTTAGGAGAAATTGATGTTA